TATATTTATACACACACACACACATACATATATATATATATATATATATATATATATATATATATATATATATATATACATATATATATATATACACATATATATGTGTGTGCGTGTGTGTATAGATATAGATATATAAATATATATATTATATATATATACATAAGTAAATATATATATAAATCTATCTATCCATTTATCTATCTATCTATATATATATATATATATATATATATATATATATATATATATATATATACATATATACACAAACACTGCATTTATGTACAAACACACACACACACACACACACACACATGCACACATACACACATACACACACACAAACATACACACACACACACACACACACACACACATATGCGTATATATATATATATATATATATATATATATATATATATATATACATATATACATGTATATGTGTGTGCGTGTGTGTATAAATATGTATATGTGTGTATATATATATATATGTATATATATATATATATATATATATATATATATATATATGTATATTTATATATATTATTACAATAAAGGTAATTAATCGACATATAATTGGCAAATTGCTACTGTTAACTACGCTAACGATGCAGTTCCTGGACTTGGAGATGTTTAAGGCAGAGAATGAGCGGATGCGTCTCATGCAGAGACCTAATCAGGAACATTACCCTCATTTTCGTATAGAGAATGCAATTAAATTTGTTCCTAAATTTAATGAAGCCGAGCCAGAGTACTTTTTTCATTCATTTCGAGCGTGTAGCTGCCTTGCATGGTTGGCCCGAAGATAAGTGGGTATTACTTGTACACAGTGCATTTGTTGGCAGGGCACAAGAGGTTTTCTCAGCTCTGGATTTGGTACAGTCACAAAATTATCATGTTGTAAAAGAGGCTGTGTTAAATGTTTATAAAAATTTACCAGAGGCTTATAGACAGGATTTCCGCAATTGCCGTAAAGATGGTAAACAAACCTTTGTTGAATTTATCCGCCAAAAGCAACTTTTGTGTAAAAAATGGGTTGAGAGTGAACTTGAATGGTTTATACTCGAGGATATAAAGAATTGTATAACTGTAAAAGTTCGCTCTCACATTGACGAGCGTGATCTGTGCATATTAGCCGAGGTCGGTTGTGCCGCCGATCATTTCGCTCTCACTAATCCGAACTACTCTTGCAGATCTAATGAGCCTTCATTCCAGTCAAGCCAGCATAGTGGTAAGAGGATGGAGTATAGTACCAGAAGGACTGAACTGCCAGATACCCAAAGGACTGTAAATATAAAGTCGTCAGAAACAGGTTGGGGGAGTAGGAATGTTGGTTCACGCGGTGATAACTTTTCTTTTTGCCGTTATTGCAAGAAACACGGTCATGTCATGAATGACTGTTTTAAACTGGCAAATAAGCGTTCTGACAATAAACGTATTTTTCATGTCAATGGTAATAAGAGGAAAGAGATTGCATCTAACTATCATGGTAATAAACCTGATCTTAGCCTTTCTCCCTTTTCCATAACCGAATCTGTAAATGTGACGCCTTCATTTAGACCATTTTGTTCTACAGGAATTCCTAGTGCCGATGAATCGTGCACGTCTTCTTCCCCAGTCACTATACTACAGGACTCGGCTGCAAATATATTATTGGTGCTCAAAGAGGCTGTTCCCAACCCTGACTGTTACACTGGAGAGATGTTAATTATTAATGGACTCATAGGGTCCAAGAACATACCCATTTGTGAAGTTTACATTAAATCTGAATTGATATCTGCTTATGTAAGATTAGGTGTTGTTGATAAGATACCAAGTGATGGCATTTCCCTTCTTATGGGTAATGATCTAGTTGGTAATAAGGTGTGGCGTTCCCCTATGGTTTTACCTTGTCCCACTAAGGAAAACAATACAGTCGACTTAGAGAGGGAGTATCCTGACCTCTTCCCACTGTGTGCTGTCACCCGCAGAGCCAGTCGTAGGGCCTCCCATCCTACCAAAGTGGTTACTCCTGGTAGTACATTAACAGAGGAGAGCCCAAGTGAGGTAATTACAGAGGAATTCACACTAGCAGACCTCTTTAATTCATCAGCTAAAGTTTTAAGTCAGCCTGCATCTGATAATCCTGATATAGTGAATTTCAAAGGCACTCCAATTACTAAAGAGAAGCTAATTGAACAACAACACAATGATCCTGAATTAAAAGCATTTTATGATAGGCTTACTGACCTAAGTGATTTAGAAACTTCTCATGTGTGCTACTATCTCCAGTCAGGAGGTTCTTATGCGTAAATGTAAGCCCTATAGTATATCTGCAGACGATACAAGAAAGATTGTACATCAGATTGTTTTGAATATTGTACATGACATTAGTGGTCATTTGGGAGTCAAGAAGACTTATTACAAGATTTTAGCTCATTTTTATTGGCCAAAAATGAGGAGAGATGTTAGTCGTTATTGTCAGTCGTGCCATATCTGCCAAGTAAAAGGT